TATTTGACTTTATTTTGGGTAAATGTGGTTCAATGGTAGTTGTACCCTGTCAAACCTGTCATAACCTAACGATTTGAGAGTTTTAAAATATACTCATGGCCCATGTGGTAGTTGGCATATTCCTGGTCAAGGGTAACGATCCCGGTAGGCAAATTGTAGAAATATCAGAATATATTCTATGACTACGTGTTCTAGAGGAATGTGTCGTACTCGGACACAGTAGGTTTAGTCGCGATGAGTGATGTCAGGGAGAGTGGTATTAAGTCTCACAGTGAGCGCTTTAGTAAGAATTTTACAGTCGGAGGAGAGCAAGCTAACTAGCCTCCATTTTTTTCAATAGACTGCTCTCACTTTTTTGAGGAGTTAAGAACATGTGAAGATCAGAGGACACCAACAAAGACGTCAGGCAAACCGTAAATACCTGGTGATGTAATTTTGATAATAATTTAACAGTAGAAGTTACCTCTTCAAAAGAAAGATTGGCATAAAACATGTGTTTAGGCGATTCATCAAGTTGGAGAGTTCCTTGCGTAGAAGAACATGGCAGTCAGTCGACACATGGTCAGGGGAGAAAAGATTAGAATAGATTAGAAAGTGTTTTGTGAGAGTTTGAATGTCACCCATTGACTCAGTTATAATGGTATTTGGTAGCTAACATAATAGACCTAACTTATCAATCATGTTTATATTGTTGACGCAAATAGTATTAGTTACACATATTGTGCTATAATATAAAGTATTTTGGGTAACATTTTTTAAGCCCGATGCAATGGTCACTTCGAACGATGGGGACAAAAAATGTCGTTCATCAATTCTCCGGCTCAAGTTTCAGAGTTAACTTGTGCCCTCTATCGACAGTTGTATGTAGTTCTTGGTTGTTATGGCAGTAATACAATATTCACCGTCAATAAAAAAAATTATAGTAGCTTGTGCAATCTTAGAAATAATAAATATTGCCGAAAAGTTAAGCGAAGTCAGATCATGACTTTACTCCCATGTGAGCACGGTTCACTCACCATTGACTGAGATATACAGTGAATATGAACATTCCTATTATCGTGCCAGTTAGTTGCCATAGTAAAAGCATAGATAGAGTGTGAAAGAAAGCAACACTGTTGTACCACATATCAATATAAAACTCTTATCTATACAAGTTGCTAAAAACCTACCTGAAGTTAATAGTATATAGCATAATGATAATGACGATATTAGAAGTGTTTTTGTGAACGTCATGATCCAGGTTTATAACAACAGGCGTGCCTCAACCATACGATGTGAACTTTGAACTATGACGTGTATCGTACATAGCACGTGTCCAAAGTGTGTAATCGTTTTATTCTTGTTAAAGATGTGTCATGAGTATGGCGTCCCAGCTGACACTGTTAATGTTGCCACTCACAATATGTATTTGTCAAGGAATAACCGAATTCACCGATACTGGTAAGATTCATTTTT